TCGTCTGCTCGGCCCTCCCCGGGTTTGCTGCTGGTTCTTCCCGGGTTGGCTACTGTCCCTTCCACCTCCGTGGAAGGGCGGTTCCCCCTGGCCGCTTTCCCCACTTCCGCAGGGGAGCGGCACACCGCCGGCCGGCTTTCTTGGGGGCTGCACAGGCGTTCCCTCAGATGTTCCCCTTAGATGTTCCTGGTGCATGCCGTCTCTCTCCTCCTTTATAGTCCTCCTCCGCCAATCCCAACTCGGCTGCCCACACGCCGAGTACGCTGCTCTCCTCCAATCAGGAGCAAGTCCTACAGTTTATTAGTTGAACTGGAGGCAGCTGTGCGGAAGCTGTTTACTTCTCTCCCAGCGCCATATTGTGGGAGAGCAGATGCATAGGATAAGTCTTAATTCCAGTAACTCAGTCTAGTCCGGTTTGCTCCCCACACCCCTCCTGCCTGGTAGCCTGCCAGGTGGGGGGTCCCTGTCCCTTCTGCCTGGTAACCTTCCAGGTGCAGCCCAGTATCTGCACTTCAAACGCCCTCCCTGCCTTTCTCTAACCAGGGCAAGGCCAGCCAGGCTTCCTCCTGTTTGTTAACTTCAGGGGGAAAACTCAGATAGGAATTTTTTGTATTTACATCCAAAAAGTCTTTTGTTTCAGGAGGAGAAGATGTGAGAAGACAAAGACCCATCTCCTTAAACACCCCCCCCCCCCCAGCCTAAATGTAGACCCGGCACTCTCTCTCAGGTCCTGTCTGGAGAGGTGCCCATCTGTTCTTACGGATGTCCCTTCCCTAATAAACCTTGCTATTTTACTTTCCACTACTCTCTGTCTCATGCCTGAATTCTTTCTTGCGCGAAGACAAGAACCCTGCCATTTACTGGTAACAGTCTTCTTTCCGTTGGTTTACCCACAAATGGCCACCACAGCCAGCGCTGCGCCAATCCGAAGCCAGGAGCCAGGTGCTTCTTCCTGGTCTCCCATGTGGGTGCAGGGGCCAAGCACTTGGGCCATCCTCCACTGCCTTCCCGGGCCACAGCAGAGAGCTGGACTGGAAGAGGAGCAACTGGGACTAGAACCCCCAGCCAGTGTCTTAATTGCTACACCAAACGCCTGAGCCTGAGTGAAGGAAGTTTTAACAGATCAACATTCAAAAATTTACAACTAGGCATAACTCACTTAGAATGCAAATGTCTAATTAAGACAGTTGGTTCACTGAAATGGGGTAGGGGCCAGTGTTGTGGTGCAGTGGCGCTGGCATCCCATAAGAGTCCTGGCTGCTCCACTTCTGATGCAGCTCCCTGCTAATGTGCCTGGGAAAGCAGTGGAGGCTGGCCCAAGAAGCTCCTGGCTCTGGGCCTCTGCCTGGTCCACGATGAACCAGCAGATGGAACGTCTCTCTCTCTCCACCCCCTGCCCTGCCACTGGTTGCTCTGCCTTTCAAATAAATAAATAAATAAGCAAATCTTAAAAAAAAAAAGTGGTGGAGTCAAATGACAAAAGACAGAGGAAGCCCCTTCCATAGAACGGTGAGGAGGCCCAGCCTGGTTGTTTTGTAGACCTGGTGAAGCTCAAGGAGACAGGGAGGAAGCCAAAGGCCATTCTTGGCTGGTGTCTGTGCCTTCCATTTCTATAGCACACGATAGAAGCTGCTGGCTGGTTGGCCACCCCCCCTTTCCACCCCACCCACCGATCCACACCCCCAGAGCCTGGCCTGGGGGTTGGAGTGCTCACCCATTCACGTGAGCGAGCACAAAGCTCCGGTTCTACACCAGGTGTCTGCAGAATTCCTATTGTTACAGTGACTTGTAGAATTTGGCAGGTGTCCCTCTCTAGGAGCCATCATTCTCAGCGTGTTTGTTGACCCAAACCATGGCATAGTTGCAGAGCCAAGACATCGCGTTGAGGTGCTACGTATTCGAGACAGCGGACAAGCTGAAGCAGGGCAGGCCTGTGTCTCTGGCGGCTGGGGAAGCTTTTGTGTGGGACGCGAGACTTCAGGAAGTTTCGTGAGTTGGTGAGAGAACAGAAAGCGAGCAGAGCGGCTCCCTCCCTCCCTGGACTCCCAGCTGGTGCTGAGCCGGCCTGGGAACCCGTGGGGGAGTCCCACAGATTGGACGGAAGGCCATGCTAGCAGGCCAGAGACGCTGGCTGCATAAACTTGATCGAGAAGATCAGAAGGTGACTGAGGGAGGGGATAATCGTTCCTGGTGCTTTCGGAAATTCTAATTAGTGGTAGCGATTGGATTCCCTCATTTTTTCCTCTGCCAGTCCCAACAAAACCAATGAACTCTTTTGCATCTCTGCACTGCTGTGTGTGGGCCGTGAGCACGAGAACGCATGTTTAGTCTGACTGCTGCCTTTTGGCTTTCAAGGGAAAGTCAGTTTAGTTCAGCACATCAAGCCCGAGCACCTATTGGATGTGAGCTGTCACATTTCCCTTGACATCTCTCTGCCGCCTCCCCCTTTCTCTGTGGCTGGGGAGATGGCTCTCTAAAAACTGTGAGGCGGAGGCCTCCCAGGAAGCAGGGAAACAAGCCAGATGCTCCCTGGGTGTTTCTTGGGCACTCAAGGACCTTTCTGATTGAATGGTGCAGTTCCGCAGGGCTTTGAAATTCTATGAGCGCACATCACGCTGTTGACTGCATATTCTATGAAGAGCTGGGATTGCTGAGCGCCTGGAAGCATTGTTTGGAGGGTTCCACAAAGGGGTGGCAGATTAGATGAGGCAGCGCTTCCTAAAACAGGAAGGGAAATTGAGCCATCAAAGGAAGTGAGGAGTTGTGTGTTCTCTTGGCCAGCTGCCGGGCAGAGAGTTGGGCAAACCCCAGCCTGGACGCTGCTGTGACAAAGGAAGGGGGTCTTGTAGACCTGGTCGGCGCTTTTGCCCAGGCTGCCTGCGAGTGGAGGCTGCCCTCCGTTCCGTGCGTGGGTCCCCTCCACTCAGCTGAAGGTGTAGGGGCAACACCGATGTTTCCTGGGGAGAAGAGACATCTGCCTCAAGACGGCAACACGGCAGCCTTGGCCACTCTGCGTTTCTCAGCCTCAGCTCTTGCCTGCCCTATCAGTTTGAGATGTGAGAGTTCCAGGGAGCGCGTGAGCCAGTTCCTTAAAAAGATGTATTATTATTATTTTTTTTTTTATTTGAAAGGCAAAGTTATGGGGCAGGGCAAGGGGGAAGAGAGAGAGAGATCTTTCGTCTGCTGGTTCACTCACCTAATGGCCACAACAGCCAGGGCTGGGCCAGGCTGAAGCCAGGCGCTTGGGACTCCATCCAGGTCTCCCTCATGGACGGCAGGGGCACAAGCACATCTCAGGTGCATTAGCAGGGAGCTGGGCTGGAAGTGGAGCAGCCGGGACTCTAACTGTTGCTCCTATGGGATGCTCACAGGCAGTGGCTTATCCTGCCGGGCCACAACGCTGGCCCCATTGAACTTTTCAACAATTACTTGTGAGGAGTGGGCGTTGGTGTTTAGCCTAGAGGTTAAGACCCCGGTTAAGATGCTTGTGTCCTGGATGGTGGTACCTGGATTTGATACCCAGCTGTGACTCCTGTCTCCAGCTTCCTGCTAACGCAGGCCGTGGGAGGCAATGGTGATGGCTCAAGCAATTGGGTTCATGCTATGAATGTAGGAGATGTGAAACCTGGCCCAGCCCTGGCACTACGGAGAGTGAACCAGCGGATGGAATCACTTTCTCTCTGCTTCTCAAATGAATAAACAAATAAATAAAATTTTAAAAAACTAACATATGTATAAGCTTCGGCTGCCAAATTGCTGTGTTTGGTGATTTGGGGAATGTAATGATGGATGAGACGTGAAAAGATGTAGGCTGAGCGTTTCTTTCTTTTTTTTAAAAAAAGATTTATTTTATTTGAAAGGCAGAGTTACAGAGAAAGAGGGAAAGAGAGAGAGAAAGTCTTCCATCTGCTGGTTCACTCCCCAATTGGCTGCAACGGCCAGAGCTGAGCCAGACTGAAGCCAGGAGCCAGGAGCATCTTCTGGGTCTTCCACATGGGTGCAAGGGCCCAAGGACTTGGGCCATCTTCTGCTGCTTTCCAAGGCGCATTAGTGGAGAACTTGATTGGAAGTGGAGCAGCCAGGAATTGAACCGGTGGTCATATGGGCTGCAGTCGCCGCAGGCAGCGGCTTAGCCTGTTAATGCACTGAGCATTTCTTTTTTTCTTTTTTTTCTTTTTTTGACAGGCAGAGTGGATAGTGAGAGAGAGAGAGACAGAGAGAAAGGTCTTCCTTTTGCCGTTGGTTCACCCTCCAATCGCCACCGAGGCCGGCGCGCTGTGGCCAGCGCACCGCGCTGATCCCAAGCCAGGAGCCAGGTGCTTCTCCTGGTCTCCCATGGGGTACAGGGCCCAAGCACTTGGGCCATCCTCCACTGCACTCCCTGGCCACAGCAGAGAGCTGGCCTGGAAGAGGGGCAACCGGGACAGAATCCGGCGCCCCTACCGGGACTAGAACCCGGTGTGCCGGCGCCGCTAGGCGGAGGATTAGCCTAGTGAGCCGCGGCGCCGGCCTTGAGCATTTCTTTATACACCTTCACCAGGAGTTCAAGAGAGGCAGAGCTGAGTAAGCTGACTGACGCTAGCACGGGGGCTCCCTTCATATTTTCTGTGCTTCACAAACCCCAGACAGAAAGCAGGCAAGGACCACGTTCCCTGGCAGGGCGGGGCAGGTGGGTGGGGATTCAACTGCTCTTGAGAACTTGATACTAGAGCGGTCTAGAATTCAGGGCAAAAGAAGCCACGCCCAGGAGTCATTTTTTAATGCTAATGCTCCTAACGTGGCCTCTAACAGTCAAGTAGGTGTTGCATTGACAATGGTCATTGGATGGAAGCCTGGAGTTTGTAACCAGCGAGAGAGAGCAAAGGAGTTTGAAACCAGGGTGTGAGTGTGTGAGCATGTGTGTGTGCACACACACTGGCAGTGGTGGGGGGAATGATTGAAATAATAAATGATGCCATTAATAAATGAGGAGGAACTTTTAAATTAACAGCAGCCCAAGATTGAAGATTAATTTTTTTAATGTTTCCTAACAAGAAAAATGTAGCAAATAAATTCCAACAATTAGGAAGTAATGAAGACCTTGCAAGAATAGCTTATTGCCGGTGGCAGATGAGGGAATTCTTGGTTGGTCTGCAGCAAATGTAAATCAGTAGGCCCAGATACATGCATCTTCAGGCATTAAGGGAATTGGCGTGCTCGCTTTCTGAACCCAACTAGTCATCTTTTGAAATCTCTCGGAGAACGTGCCAAGAAAGGCAATGAAGCAGTGCTGTGGAGTCCTGTCATTGAAGAAGTGCCCCGTGCTGGTCCCCAGCCCCCCCACCCCTTCATGCCACCCCACCCTTGTCACCTGTTCTGACGGGGTGTCCAGGGCCATGAGGTCACCTGTTGAGTCTGCATTGCACCTGCTGCTCTGTGGTTGGTGGCTGGTGACGGCTGGGAAGTGTGAGAGCGGCTGCTGCAAACTTGGAAAGAGCAAAGGGCCCAGGGACCTGGGAACAAGGTAGAGGGGCATGGTGGTGCTCTTGGAACTGGACTGAGGCAGACGATGGTGCTGTAGGCACCACACCTCCCACAGAAGGAAGTGTTGTGACTGTTGGCTGCTAGGGTCTACGGGCCTTTTGTACCTCAAGCACAGACTCAAATGTTTCCCCTTTCTCAGTTTGCTTGGGCAAGCCACTTGGTGGTAATTGACCATTTCTGCTGTGGACAAGAAGCAGCCGCCAAAGCTGGAAGGTGCTGTGAGACCCAAGACAGAAGGGGACAATGCCAGGGCTACACAGTGTCATCTGATGGCAGATGTGTGTCTCGAGTGGCCGCAAGATGAAAGCATCCCCCTCGCCAGGAAGAAGGGGGTTTCTATGCTAACCTTGGCCATGGCTGCCTGTGGCTAACCAGAATGCACCTGATCGTTCCCGATGTCAGATAAGGGATGTTCCAGGCATCATTTTCTGGCACCAGACGGCTGGCAGATTATCTTAACCACCTCAGTTACCAAATAGGGCTTGGGATGACTAGCAGGATCCCAGAGGACAAGCGTGGCAGTTACGGCCAAGATGCCCGCAGTCAGGGAAGCTGGCTTCTTCCACGGCCGTCGTCTCCGCCTGCCCGACTCCTCGGCCCCTCCCTCTTCAGCAGCTTCCGCACCTGGAAGCGGATTGCGGTGCCTCTTCACTCCGGGGGTTGCATCCTGATTCAGTCTCATCCGTGTTTATCGCTTGATGCCCAGATACATTCAATGCCTTGGTGGTTACAGTTGTCTCGTATTTTACTTTGTAAGGTCTAATTGAAGTAGGCAGGCATACAGGTTAAAATCAATTAGGTTTGTGAGCTGGAAGACCACGCCTTTGCCACGCCCCTGTGTGACCTCACACTCTACCTGATACCTTTGCCACGCCCCTGTGTGACCTCACATTCTACCTGATACCTTCGCCACGCCCCTCTGTGACCTCATGTCTTTACCTGGTCACACCTGAGTGCCCACCGGCCAATCAGGTTAATGAACCACTCCCCTTTGGAAGTGGGTTAAAAGCCTGGGACACGGCGAGTGTGTCTGGGCCTCTTTTCCCTGGCCTCTAGCCAGGAGGGTTCTGGCTGTAGGCTTCCTGGCCTAGATGCTCTTCCACGTGGCTGGTTCCTGGTACTGGGTATGAACCCAGATTTACCCCTCTCTGTCTCTCAGATAAAGCTCTCACTCTCCTATGATTTCTCTCACTAAATAAAAACTTGAAATGTACCATGCTGCCTCGTTTATCTGTGCCGGTATTTAGAATTCTCTAAATATTAGGCAAGAACCCTTTCGGGCTTATTAATATTGGGGATTTATTAATAAGCACATGGTAATATCGTATAGCACCCCAAATTCCAGCAACATATGTGGCACCCCAGATGGCACTTCTGGGGAACTTTAAGGGGCCACATTTTCATATATATATTTTCGGGGGTCAATTCTGATGTAATGACAATAGTAGTAATACTAAGGTAACATTTTAAGAAAAGATTTATTTATTTATTTAGAGGCAGAGTTACACAGAGAGAGGGAAACACACACACACACTCACAGAGAGAGAGAGAGAGATCTTCTGTCCTCTGGTTCACTTCCCAAAGGGTCACAACAGTCAGAGCTGGGCCTATCCAAAACCAGGAGCCAGGAGCTTCTTCCGGGTCTCCATCATGGGTGCAGGATCCCAAGCACTTGGGCCATCTTCCACTGCTTTCCCAGGCCATAGCAGAGAGCTGGATCAGAAGTGGAGTGGTGGGGATTTGAAGTGGTGCCCATCTGGGATGCAGGCACTGCGGGCAGCAACTTTACCTGCTAGGCCACAGCGCTGACCCCACAGGTTGCGTTTATGGAGCATTTATAGCATGCCAGGGACATACACCAATCCACTTAATCCCCACCATAAATCCCAGAAGTAGGGATTAACATTCCTATTTTGCGGATGAGGGAGTTGAAGCATAGGGAAGGCATCATGTGTTGTCTCCCAGGGTGTGTGTTAGTAGGAAGCTGGAACCAAGACTGGAATTCAGACACTCCAACATGGGAAGCAGCATTAGCCCTAGGCCTAAAATCTGCCCAGTTACTTACTTATTTATGTTTTTAATGATTTATTTATGTACTTGAAAGAGATACACAGAGAGAAGCGGAGATGCAGGGTTGGGGGTCTTCCATTTGCTGGTTCTCTCCTCAAATGGCCACAATGGCCGGAGCTGAGCTGATCTGAAGCCAGGAGCCAGGAGCTTCCTCTGGGTTTCCCACAAGGGTGCAGGGGTCCAAGAACTTGGGCCATCTTCTACTGCTTTCCCAGGCCACAGCAGAGAGCTGGATCTGAAGTGGAGCAGCCTGGACTCGAACTGGCGCTCATATGGGATGCCAGCACTGCAGATGGCGGCTTTACCTGCTACATCACAGTGCCCCCCCCCCTTTACTTATTTTTAAATTGGGGCCAGAGATAGAAGGGAGTTACATGGAGACAATGGGGTAAGAACTTGGCAAAGCCAGCTCTGGTCCTCTGCTAGGTTTCTGTTCTTCACCACCCTGTTCTAGCAGACAGAAGCTACTTCCTACATAATGCAGTACTGCTCATAGTTGGACTGAGGGATGGGCTTGCCAGGAAGCTGCTTGGGGCACTAAAAGGCTTGTAGGCAACACTGAATAACCCAGACACACAGCTGCAGTCAACTCTGTCCTGGGTCTGGTTCCCCCATGTTTGTACATGATGAATAAGATGTAAATGATCAGCCGGCGCCGTGGCTCACTAGGCTAATCCTCCGCCTTGCGGCGCCAGCACACTGGGTTCTAGTCCCGGTCGGTGCGCCGGATTCTGTCCCGGTTGCCCCTCTTCCAGGCCAGCTCTCTGCTG